CGGCAATCGTGACATGCTCTATCGCATGCATTTGCAAGTTTCAACGTTCATTCTGTAACACGGTATATCGCACAGCGGTCTCGTCGGGACTACGATTTACTCTCTTGGTCATTATTATTTCATTCTCACAGCCTTTTAATGTTGCTGCAGTTTATTCAAAATGTTAGTTTTCAAATTGAATTGTAAAAAAGTTGAAATCCACAGAGGTTAGGGAGAGTATTGATAGTAATACTGATTAATTTGTTACTTGGAGCAGATAAGGTTGTGAACTGATTCTAAGAGCGATTTAAAGTGATTAAGCTACTATCGAACTGTTTCTTAGTTTGTGTATTGAAGAAATAGAGAGCGATGAAGGCCCAAAAATTTTTCAGAACGCTGCACTGCTACATCGGCGTCCCTATGAGTCACACGTCTTGTCGGCCGCTTTCTCATAGCGTAGTCCTGCTGTCTGTCTCTGCATGTCTTCCCGTCTGCCTTTATGTCCTTGTGTGTTCCTGTCTCTCTTTTCCTGTCTGCCTATGTGTGACTTGTTCATGTCTGGCCTTCTCTTTCTGCCTACGTGACTGCTCATGATCGTCTTGGATTTTTTTTCTGGAAATAGTGTAACGAACTTCCGTGTTTCGCTCCACTATTCTAGCTGTCTACTGCATATCTACATTGTGTGTTATTTCACCTGTCGCTTTTATCAACTGTTTTTCGCCTGTATCAACTGTTTTCTGCATTGCTTGTCGATATTTTTTCAATCTCTTTGTGTTTTCCATCATCCTTCTGAGCCTGCACTTCCCGTCTGCTTTTGTCTGAGGTGCCGTGCGATAAATTGTGATGAGATGCAATATCTGGAGCAGCGCACCTCTCCAATATATTACTGAGGCCACATATCTTGTGTACTCAACCAAGATAACGCAATAATATCATATTAGATATTGATTGTATTTCAATGCCAGGGAATCAATGGAATTAATAGCGGCACAAATGATTCGTTTGTGGGCTTAAATATATAAATATTTAAACTTTTCCCTACCTATCTATATCTAAATTGAAGCCAATAAAAAATTGTCTCACGTACAGAAAATACGCGTTTTCTCCATTTACCTTCAACAGATTTTCGCAACTTTCGGTCATATTGTCAAGTTTATACAAATAATAACATGGTGGTAATTAACTACGCGCATAACTAAGATGACACGGCTAGTTTCTATCATTCGTATATCGATGCACGACGAGATTCATTCATTAGTCTTCTTCTGAATTCTGTGTGTCATTACTTTATCAATGTCTGTAATTTGATGAATGGAACACGGCTTTACTCTACAAACTTTTTAACGTGGCTCAATACCATTGAAACCATTTCATAAGAATTAGATGTTCATTTATGACAAGCAAGGAGCTGTTTACTACTCCCTCTGGACTTCTGCCGCTTCCCTTATTACCAGAAGGCCATGAAAGTCTCCCGAAACCTTATCGTGGCGAGTTCATCTTATAATGGCTGTTTATTCCCCTTTTTATACTTATATTGTATACGCCGTAGTGATCTCTTGTTATATAAATGAAATTTCACTCTGGGGATGTGGAACATCTCTATGGTTTGATATGGTGTACTTATCGCTTAGGTTTCGTGAGTGTAATTTGCTAAACTTTCGAGTGATCGTGGATACATTTTTGCTATCATCTTCCGTTTGTCTTGAGCGCGGTGAGATGACAAAACTGAGGAAAACTGTTTGAAAAATTTGTTATGAATTAAGATAACTGAATAATTAGATTTTTTACTTGAATATTTACATCGTCCAAGAGATGTGATTAGATTAAAATGTGACGCTCCATCTCTGCGAGACGTAAAATTTTCGAAACGTTTATTTTCTGTGATCGGATTGCTCCGTTCACAGAAACTGAGAATATTGGCTTTCAATGCAACGAAATTCGGAAACTGATGGCTTCTTAGAATAATTAGCAGTCGTCTGAAAATTTCAAAACCAGTACATATACAATGTTAACATTTGATACCAGTTGCTTGACTTGTCTTAACTGTTATCCTTTTCCAGCTCGCCAAGAGGCGTTTTTATTGAAAATCACTTGCATATTAAAAGTCGCTTCATCTTTCATGCGGAGTTGATGGTGACATCAAACTCTGATATTCTATTAGCGTAAAAAGTTGTGATAGTCCAGGCAATGAGGGATGACGGTCTGCTTAGGCTTGACTAGGCGCTGGCAGGCTCCAGCGCGGCTGGCTGCCGTCCAGGCGCATCGACCCCGCGATATGCAGCCTCGCCTGCTCATGCAGTCGCTTGTCCTGCACTCGGAGAAATAAGTCAGACTTTGTTGTAATGTCATGCATTTCTTGCCATGTGTGGGTCATCCTGATCCAGTTTAGCTTGAAAAAATATAACTCAGTACTCACTGAAGGAATGTCCTGACAGAGAGCGCATTTTCTCGTCGACGAAAACTTGAGGTCACGGACGGACAGACAGACAGACAGACGGACAGACAGACAGACAGACGGACATGGCGAGCACAATAGTGCATTTTTTCCATAAATGAGAAAATGCGCTAAAAAGGCGTATCGGTGCTACGGAAGAAAGTGTATGGCAGGCCCTGCTATAGCTATATAATTTGTATTTTTTCACTGCTCTTATTCGATAGGAGTAAAGATGAGGAGGCATACGGGGAAGTTAACTGTGCTTCTAATAGCAATAAAGTTTTTATCCGTCTCACGAGTCCAAGGCTGCAGAATTTCTCATCGCGCGCGCAGTTCCAGTTACTTAGAAATATTACTCAATATTAGTGCAGTCGACTTGAGTGAAATTAACTCCAGTGAAATTCTATATCTTAGATCTGAAATCGGATGCCGCGGATATAGAATTGAGAGAATTCCGAGAACACCATTTAATGCGCAACGAATCATTGAGATTATTCCTTCTATTGTGAGAAATACTCTCAAGAATTTCTAATTATCATTCCAAATGCGGGTTGGAAGCAGCTGATGAATACAAGTAACCGCATTCCTAAGAAATAAAATCAACAATACTGAGCAAATTCTCGCTGTGTGGAATAAATGTCATTATTATAATACTTGCTTGTGATTAATTCCGAAACCTTTTTTTTACGTTAAACGTCATGCAATGCTGACAAAAATTCCGTTCATGTTGATAGTGCGGACTGTGACCTTGCGTGGCTCAGGTTTCATTAGCTAGAATATATTCGTGAGACGTTCACCGAGATGATTCCTGAAAATGAATTAACTGTTCGTGGTAGAATATATATTGATCAACATAAATGTGTCACTTGATTTTTTTTAGTCAGCAGTACCAGGGTACTGATTTTAAATTAAACCAACGAGAGTCCTCCTGCTAGATTTTATTCGGTATAGAATAACGAAGAGTATGTCTTTCGGAAGAAATTAAAATCGAGTGTTATTTTTTGAGAAGGCAAACTCATTTGAAAAAAAGCCGTTATGTAATTTGGATCGTTTTAAATTAATTTATTTTGAAATGAATGTAATCTTGAATTTTCCCTTGTTTCAGGTGAGATGGTGACTTTAGCGCGGACCAAAGACGGCTGAGACCAGGCCACGATTCAGGTTCTTCTCTTCTCTATTCTTCGCTTTATCGCCATGTCATCCTTGTCTTTTTTTATCATCAAGTCTCCCCCACTTCACTGCCTCTTCTCATCCTCTTCCTGAAACACACTTGCCATGCATCGATCATTCATTCAAGCCTCTTACATTATTTCGGCGAGTGTTGTGGCAGGTAAACCGGGTAAAATAAATCCCCAACCTTCGTAAAATGAAGCCTTGTATTCCTAAGCTTCGTTCCTAGCCGCTTTATTGCTTGAACCTCTCCATCACGCGAATAATTTCCTTCAAACCCGCACAAGATAAGGATTTTAATTTTGAAGAGTATTTAGAAATGCTCTATTTACCGACCAATATTAGAAACGTTCTCTTTCCCGAATATTTTTAAAAACACTCTTCTTTCTGACGATATTTGATAACATTATAATTCGCGACAATTTGCAAAAAGTTTTTTTCTCCGCCAAATTAATTAATATATTCCATTTTCGGACCATATTTAAGAGGTCTTTTTACGAACCATATTGAAAAACATTCTTTTTGCCGAACATATTTGAAAACATTCGCCGCTCGCTGCTGGCATACGAGCGCATGATTCAAAGCACGCGCAGACGCTGTATATCAATTTCACGCCCTTGCTGCACTCCCATCTGTAGGGAATTGTTCAAAATATACTCAATAAAAAAATAAATATACTCCATGACTTAGGTTCCATACAAGGCTTTCCCCGCCGTTCTGTTATACTCGTATTTTTTACATATGTTTTACCTATACCATTAGGTATCATCGTATGAATAATTAATTAGGTATGCGTTTTTATTTCGCACAAAAATATTGATTTTATGGCCCTTCTTGGCATGGTATAAGAATTTGACTAAAGCCTTACAGCTTAAACTCAGCTCAAATATACAAGTCTAGTTTTACCGTGCATCTTTTTTCGCGTGGTTTTGTGTTACCATCGTACTTGTGTCTTGTACTCGAACTCTAACGTTGATTATATTGTACGCGGTCGTTACGCTGATGTGAACGCATTTCGATCAAATCTTAATTATCAATAGGTATTTTCTTTGGCTCGCGTCTGACTGTGATAACTTGACGAGAGAAGCGATCTCATGCGACAATCTAGTGATGTTGAATGCTCATTGCCGAAGCCTTGAGTTGACGTCTAATTGCCTGATTAAGTTATTGTTCGTGTAGGAATAGCCTTGAAATAAGTGCGTGAACTCATATTAATGGCACAAAGATATACTTAGTATTCGAGCTCATTTCATATGTTATGTTGAAAGATACTCGTGAGTGCTCATATAAAGGGTACAGCCAAACTTTATAATTAACCTACTATCGTATCTTATCCTTATAAGTATAAATTTATGGATAACATTTCTTACGATCAATTCGCAATATATCGCACGTGCAAGTAAATCTTTCAATCGCGACAGATAGTTGGAATTATTACTTAGTTACTTATTACTGTAACAGTTGGAATTATTTGACTAAATATTAGTGATATATTGGTCTCGAGGAATCTCAATGTAAAAAAGATCTTTGACCTGGGTCTGAGGAACCGCAACACAACCTTGTACACCAATGAATCGATAACGTGTAGAACCGAAATATTACGGAATCTCTTCTGTTTCTTGTGCGATGGCTTCTATGAAACCAGTGAGTGTCACTGCCACACCCATTCTCTCTGTGCCACCTCCCCCAAGCTTGACTCACGCGCTTTCCCCTCACATCACCCGCTCCTCCCCACCCATCACCCCTCACCCTCTGTCCTCCTCCTTGCCCTCTGGCGGCGAGTGCAGTGCAGATCTTAACCGATGCACCCCCCGCAAACAACGACGTCTCTTCAACCTGGTCGATATCAGGTAATGTCTTCTGCTTTACGTTTGCATCGCCGCCTAACTCTTGATTAAACGTAGAAAACTAATTCGAACGAGTTTTGTTAGGTAATGTCTTCGGCTTTCAGTTTGCATCACCGCCTAACTCTTGCTTAAACGTAGAAAACTATATATAATTCGAACGGTTTTTGTTAGGTAATGTCTTCTGATTTCAGTTTGCATCGCCGCCTAACTCTTGATTAAACGTAGAAAACTAATTCGAACGATTTTTGTTAGGTAATGTCTTCTGCTTTCAGTTTGCATCGCCGCCTAACTCTTGATTAAACGTAGAAAACTAATTCGGACGGTTTTTGCTAGGTAATGTCTTCGGCTTTCAGCTATCATCGTCGTCTAACTATCGAATGATCGTAGAAAAGTTTAATTTGCATTGTTCAGCAGGAGATATAATATAATATAAGGAGATATAATAATTTTATTTCGGTTCTCAATTATCATCGCCATCTAAAGTCTCATTAAGCATAGAAAACTCCAATTCGAGTTGTTTTTGCTAGATCATTGCTGTATCCTGCTTCCAATTTATATCTCCGCTATAAGGTTAGGGATAAATGTAATTCAGCTGTTTCAGCCTTGCAGTCTGCTCTATACTTGCAACATTTCATCGATGCAATTGTTTCACTTCCAAATTCTCAAGTTATAGCTAAACCCGTTGTTTAATTTGTAGAGGAATGGCCTATGTCGATTTGTTTAGTTATATTTATTTGCACTCAGTAAAATTGAATTTTTTCCGCAGTTTCAAACAATCGAATCTTGACTTTTTTTAAATAAAAAGATATCGAATAAACACATCTAGCAGACGAGTATTGGTCAATCGCCGTTGAAATAACTCGCCTGTCTCAGACAGCAACTGTAAATACTTCGTATAGTATCTTAATTGAACACAAAAATTCCATTGCGGTTTTCCTGTCAACTACAGTCCCTAGAAAACAGTCTTCCGCCCTGACAGTCTTGCTTTTCCAGGAGTTTGATAAAATAAGAGAAAACCTGCATGTCATGATCGTAATGTGGATACAACCGTAATGATCGTAATGTGGATCCAACCGTAATGATCGTAATATGGATCTAATCGTAATGATCGTAATGTGGATCTTCTGTGGATCTAATACAATCAGCCTCAAAATTATTGTTCAGCATTTTATCGGTTATTAAAATGCATTTAATTTGTTAGTAAATCTAAATTTTGTTCTATTTTAATGGCCTTCTTGTTCAGAACAGGTAATTTTTGCATGAATATAAACTCTTAGAATTTTCTCTCATTATTTTGAATATTGCTTGACCAATTAAACCGGATGAGGCTTTATTGAATGAGTTTTTAAAAACATTGATTGGAGGGAGATGTTTAGAGTGTAAAAAGACAACTGATTATGGTATCATCTGCAACCCGGCGTTACTCGGGTGTTCATTCATCACTGTTAACTGGATGAAAAATTTCGGCTTTGATGAACTTGACAAATATGTATCTATTGGGAAGCAAATAAAATAGGATTGTGCCCGAATTGGCAGGATAACAATGCTCATCAGGTTAACTTGGATGGCAGATTGACGGCGTGCATTGCTGGTTAATCGATTTACAAAGCGTGACGTTCATATTAAACGAACTCCGAGTATCGTCAAATATGTCACGAGTAACGATAGTTGTGATGATGCTGTGACGTAAAATATATTTTAAATATATAAGCGTGCATTTTGAATTAGTAAAAATTAGTTTGAGATGGCAGAATTTGTTGATTTATACGCGTGCGATTAACGACCAGAGAATAAATTGATTTAAATTATCAATGAGTCGGACAATTCTTCAGATGACGTTGGTAGATCGAAAGGCATATATCAAGAATTGAATTACTTACTTGATATATGCCTTTCGATCTACTTGATAATACTAACCTAACAATGCTCTTTGTAACTTGAAAATGAATGTTTGTTACATTCGAAACGTCGTTAATAAACTAAAACTACTTCTTGATATATGCCTTTCGATCTACCAACGTCATCTGAAGAATTGTCCGACTCTTTGATAATTTAAATCAACTATTTCTCTGGTCGTTAATCGCACGCGTATAAATCAACAAATTCTGCCATCTCAAACTAATTTTTGCAATATAAAGACCCGGCAGCAAGAGAGAAAATGATTACTGTGAGACACAGAACTGAACCAATTGCGAGAAAAATCAGCAGTGAGGTCAAAAATATGAAAACCAGAGACTCAGAAATGTATCTGAAACGGTCTCGGAGTATTACAATCGAGCAATTTCATCTCAATATCAACGATGAATCAAACTGGCTCCGTGACAACCTTGACAACAACGTCAAACCCTGGACCATACCGAGCAATGGCAAATGCAAAAAAGTGGAAGTTCTCCAGGAGGCCGGTGTAATCTGTAAATTTTGCTTCAAAGAAGGTTGTAGACTTCTTCATTATTTGGATTGCATTCGGGTAATTGCAATAACGACTACGACATTGAACTGCCGTTTCTCTTACCATCTGAGACAAGCTAACAACCAGACCAGGTCTCAAAGTATTACAAAGAAGCGACTTCATCTCAAGATCATCGATGAATTCAACAGGCTTCGTGACACTCTTAAAAACGTCAAAACCGAGAATATACGCGACAACGGTACATGCAAAGAAGCGAGAGTTCTCCAAGGGCCAGATGTATTCTATAAATTTTGCATCAAAGAAGGTTGTAGACTTCTTCATTATTTGGATTATATTGGAGTCATTGGGGTAACAATTGTGACATTGAACAGCCGTTTCTACTACCACCTGAGACAAGCTAACAACCAGACCAGGTCTCAAAGCAGTACAAACAAGCAACTTCATCTCAAAATTGTCGATGAATTTAACAGGCTTCGTGAAAACATCATCAAACCCCGAACTAAACGCGAAAATGGCCCTCGCAAAAACTCGGGAGTTGTCCGAGAGGCCGTTGTGGTCTATAAATTTCACTTCAAAGAAGGTTGTAGACTTCTTCATCTTATGGACTACTTCGGACACTTTGGATCAACAACCAAGACACCGAGACACTGTCTCATTAGCTACCTCCAACCCGGAGGGCAAGGGAACCACACGCGACAATCTCACAACCAGACCGTCACTCGCTTTGTGCTGAGGGAACCCGCCAGCATTGTCATCATGCAGTGGCCTGACATCAATCGACCGAAGATGGCTAGCCTCATCGTCTCTACGAATTGGACGCCTGCTACCTCTTTCTTAACTACCGGATTTGGCTGAACTTTGAAATGATTTTCAGAGTGATTTTTGATTCAAAATTTTACTATAGTATCCTATTTACATATATTATGTACTTATTTCTACCAGAATTTCAATATTTAATGCTCTTTGTAACTTGAAAATGAATGTTTGTTACATTCGAAACGTCGTTAATAAACTAAAACTACTTCTTGATATATGCCTTTCGATCTACCAACGTCATCTGAAGAATTGTCCGACTCATTGATAATTTGAATTAGTATTAAACGGTTTTCTCTTTTACCATTTATTAATATTTAGCTGAAAATGCATTACTCGGTCGTTGTGTATATAGTTGAGGGAAGTTTGCTGGCCTTTCCCGTGATGTTTGTGTCCCAACTAAAAAGTATACAGTGCTCCAAATTTAAGTATTAGGTGGAATGTGCTATACATACAGTTTTTTAAGAATAATTTGGAAGTAACCACGTGTGCATTACTTTAAATGCAAGTATCATTTTGAACTTAAAATATGTACAGTACTTGAAATTTGTGTATAATTTGGAACTTGCCACGCATGCATGCAGTACTCTACGTTCGATCACGATTTGGAATTATTTGACTAAATACGCGGTTGTTAATTACGCTTGGTGCTGACGTTAAAAATCGACCTTCACGAGATCGATGGCGCCTGCACAGTGGTTTAAACTGCAGGTCATGACATGAAACAAGTCTTGAGCTTTTCCTCGTTATCCACTGGATAATCTTACTGCATGTTCTCCCGCCGTGCGTAACATTAGAAATATATCTACGACATTTGAAATGAGTCTATTTGTAGTAGGCTTGCAAATGTGAGGGTCATGAGGGTTGTACGTCCTGAACAAGTAAGTTTAGGGACCAATAGTTAAACTTTAGCACATGCAACGTTGCGTATGTTGGCTGGAAAACAAAAGAAAGTCGTCATGAACTGACGAACACGATAAAGCCGACTTACGATAATTTTACTTTTCAGTTGGAAATGCCTCGGTGAGGAGCGTGAACCCAGCGCTTGAGTTATTTATAATAACAACAAGGTGTACATTTGTAAACAAGTGTCGCCCTAAAACAAATTACTTGCAAGTGACCGCCGTGGCCGTTAACACTTGACCTTTAACATGCCTGGCAGAAACATTAATAGTTAATTAATTTCACATCGATACAAATGTGTTGAAGACTTGAAATTGATCACTAAGAGAGTGATTATGCTTTGAGGTAATTTTTGAGATGTCAGCGGGACAGATTATTCGTTCAATATTTCAAGGTACCTAGAATGGAATTTTTTTGCGTAGAGTCGTATAATTTGTGGATGTATTATTTATTATATATTGGGGACTTACTAGACTTAGCTCGGTGAAGTAATTCACTGAGAACAAACGCAGCCTGAGCACTGTTGGCCGTGTGGATGTATTTCTCTGCACTGTCGATGTTGAGTATCATGCGCTTAAAATAAAAAAAAATAAAAATGAGAAACTAGGATCCTCAGCCTAAAGGAGATGTTTTTTATCTGAAAAATTTTCTGTAAAATTTAAACCTGAAGTTATATATTTTCATGCAGATTGAGAAAATTTAGCAACATTCATGTTTTATTTACTTCATAATAGGCTTTAGGCAATAAATTATATCGGGATTGCTTTAACGATAATTATAAAAAAGAAAATTATTGGATGATATGTTCCAAGTTGCAGTTAAGCCAACGGAGGTGACGATATATATGTAACAGCTCCTGGATCAAATACGTTTGATAACATACTTAGTTATTTAATGATTAGTTATTTTTAAATGTTAAGTAATTAAATGTCAATAAGTATTTATTTCTGGTTTAATCCGCACAGGAGCGGCGTGGCGGGGTCTAGCGTGGAGCTGGGCGGCGTCTCGCACCCTCAGCCACCACAGCTCGGCAAGCGGCAGCGGGCGCCGCTCGCTCACCTCGACTCCAAGTTTGTCGTCTCGCAGGTTAGCGCTCGCAGTGTTAACTTGGGGTTATACTTTAAAAAAAATTAAGAGATCGTAAATTCATCAGCTAATCATTTACGACTTTTCAAGCAAAATCCACCAATCATAGACAAGAAAATAGAGCGTAATTACTTACGTTCACTTAGCGAGTTTTGAAAGCATGGCCCCAGGATCGTACCATCAAAACCTGCTTGAGTAAACGTAGCGGCCTCAGTAGGTACACGTAGCTGCCTAAGTACACGTAGCTGCCTCAGTACACGTAGCTGCCTCAGTACATGTAGCTGCCTCAGTAGGTACACGTAGCGGCCTCAGTACACGTAGCTGCCTCAGTACATGTAGCTGCCTCAGTACACGTAGCTGCCTCAGTACACGTAGCTGCCTCAGTACACGTAGCTGCCTCAGTACACGTAGCTGCCTCAGTACACGTAGCTGCCTCAGTACACGTAGCGGCCTCAGTACATGTAACTGCCTCAGTACACGTATCTGTCTCAGTACATGTAACTGCTTCAGTACACGTAGCTGCCTCAGTACACGTAGCTGCCTCAGTACATGTAACTGCCTCTCTTTACGTAGCTGCTCTAGAACACGTGACGACTTAAGTACACTTAGCGCCCTATTCCTCGTCTGTGATTGGTTGGTTATGCTTGAAAAGCCGTCAGTAATTGGCTGATGGCGTCACAAATTCGTAACTGAGTTTGCTAGTCCGGCCCAGGTCGACTTCTAAACTCGTGGTACGTGTAACCTCTCATGTAGACCGTATCCATTTGCTGTCTGTCATTGCAGTTCATTTAATGTCCATTGTATTTCACTAATTGGAACCTTCTTATATATTTGAACTTGTTAGCGGATTAAATCTTAATTTAAATGTCGTCTAAGATAACTTCTATAATAACCTTTAATAGATGGAACATTAATCAGCTAGATTAATTAATAACAGGAAACACTCATCTTATAGAAGCGTTGCTGCTGTAGTGACGCTGCAACATCGAGCGGTCGCCGTGTGCAGAGAAGCTCTTCATGGTTACCGTGTTAACCGCTTTTGACTCGTTACCGTGTGATATCATCGTCACCGTGTGTGTTGCTGCAGACATGTTCTCGTGTAATATTATCGTTACCGCCCTGCGTATCGCTTTTGAAATATTACCATATATATCGCATGTCAACATCGTTACCGTGGGTACCACTTCAGAAATATTACCGTATACGTATAGGTATACCGTGTGCCAACATCGTTACCGTGCGTACTGTTTCAGAAATGTTACCGTATACAACATCGTGACCGTGTATCACGCTTCAGAAATGTTACCGTATATACCGTGTATCAACATCGTTACCGTGTGTACCGTTTCATAAATGTTACCGTATATACCGTGTGTCAACATCGTTACCGTGCGTGCTTCCGTGGTCGCCACATGCAAGCGTGCGACGAAGCTATTCATCGTTACCGTGTGTTCCGCTTTGGCGGTCGATGCTTCAGCAAGCGTTGCCAGGCAGGTAGCATTGACGATGTTTTGTGCGACTTGAAGCGAGTGAGACAGTGGCCTTAGAACTAAATTATATGTATTATTTTAGAGATAAAAGTCTACATGTAGCGTCATTTACTATAACTGTAAATTACTGGTGTTATTTGTCTGGAGATTTATACTAAATTTCATGTATGATTCACTTTCTTTCAGTCGGCCACAGTATCCGTAGTAGTATTTTTGTAGTCAAGACACTCCGAGTTCATTTTTATTTTGACTCGGACCAAACTTTGTTTGAGATATTTTCTTTGTAATCGTTGACTGCCTTCGTCTTAAAAGCCATACGATATGTAGTGCCTGTCTCTTATACACANCCGGCACAGTGATATAGATGTCTGTTGTATCAAAAATAGCCATGATTCTTCTTCTGGTATTTCAATCAGGAAATAACGGTAAATCATTGGGTCCCAAACATTACTCACCTCGATAAAAATGAATCCAGAAAATTTTACAGTATGTAATTTTTATGTGAAACTCGCTGGTATTTTCGTTGCTTAATACTCCTCTTCAACTACAAATGAAGTTGTCCTAAACAATAAAGTTCATGTGCCACCAGATAAAGTTCCATATATCTGTCGGACCAATTGTTTTCGTTCTGATTAAAGCGGCAAAAAACGATTAAAACTTGTTTGAAATTGAACGAAGAATTTTAGTGCGAGCCTCTGCAATTAAAACGAGCCCTTGAGCAACGACGAGAAGTTAATGCTGTCGTGGACTAATGTGAGTGACGTCAGTGGGAATTGCTCTCGACACGCGTGGATTCCAGTTAAATTATAAAATACCTTCATTTTTTAAATTGATTTGTGCTGAAACGTCCAGCTTGTCTTGCCGACTTAACCTTTTAATAACAGAAATGCATACAGTACATGAATTGAACCCTTTTTCATCTATTATATTGAATTTGTTGTAGCTCATCAGAGTTTACTAGAAAGATTTCAGTTTGTATGCTCGACCAAATGCTCGTACAATGGGTAGATATTGGTTAGTTTCCTAACTAAATAAAATAAATAAATTGAACGTAACAATTCAGTGTTTAACGGTAAATTTTGGTTAATGAAACTTACGAACTATATTAACTAAACTGCCAGCATTGTAAACCACGGTGTTTGGATACCTACCAGCTATACGGTTCCTGATATTTGAAGCTCTCTGAACAAACCAAGATTTCAGTGAACACAGGAACAGCTTTCAGTGAGCTAAGGCAGGATATCATAATTTATGATCTAAACCTTCTAGAAACGGTAACTGTTGTTACCATACCTTTAGATGTGAATATCGTGACGTAACCGAACACAAATTAAGGATTACCGTTATGTGTTCTCGCGGTAATTTTCGTTACCAGTCTTCATGAACAAATGACGTGAAGACGCTTAATGTGTATCTGAAAACATAGTGTTAGCTTTTTGTCTTCTGGCAGTAGCTTCATTTACTACGCCTTTCGATACGAATAGCTTTAAAGACGTTTAATCTGTATCCAAAAACCAAAGGTTACCAGAACGCACTCGCAACGAAGTATGCTTTCATGACGCCGTAGCATGAGATGTCTGCTAACATTAGCAGCTTTATCGGATGGCTGGCGGAATCTTTCTAGCCGCTGATGAGCATCATTTGTTGGACTCTTCCTTCCATTCTTCCCCACGACATAACCTGCCTTGAATTCCAGCCGCATCTACAAAATGCATTCTTTCAGTGTTCAACGGTAAATGTTGATTAATGAAACTTGTGAACTATATAAACTAAACTGCTTATTTCAGTGAACAGTGAACACAACTGATTTCAACTGATTTCAGTGAACACAGGGACAGCTTTCAGTGAGCTAAGGCGTGAGATCATAATTTATAATCTAAACCTTCTCCTAAAAACGATAGCTGCTGTTATTAGAACTTTTGATGTGAATATCGTGATGAAGTTTAATGCATATCCGTACAAAAAAGGTAGAGCCTTTAGTCTAATGATGGTAATATAGATAGATTTAGAAACGAATAGCCTTGACGACGGTTAATGCGAAACCGAACACAAAGTACCCTTTTGTGTATACCGACGGTAATTTTTGTTACCAATATTCGTGTATAAATGGGGTGAAGATGCTTAATGTGTATCTGAAAACATGGTATTAGCTTTTTGTCTTCTGACAGTAGTTACCGTGTGTATCACTGATACGAATTACACTTTTAGATACGAATTTTATTTATTACACTTTTAGATACGAATATCTTTGAAGACGTTTAATCTGTATCCAAAAACCAAAGGTTAACAGAACGCACTCGTAACGAAGTATGCTTTCATGACGTCGTAGCAAGAGATGTCTGCTAACAGTAGCAGCTTTATCGGATGGCTGGCTGGGCGGAATCTTTCCAGCCGCTGATGAGCATCATTTGTTGGACTCTTCCTCCCATTCTTCCCCACGACATAACCTGCCTTGAATTCCAGCCGCATCTACAAAATGCATTCGTCATTCACTTGTATTTCCATTTTCCATGGTATTTTCTTTCTTGTTAATTAATGTATGTTCTTGCAATTATTTTCTTAAATGTTCTAGCCCTTCATATTCTCAGTGCTGGTATCATTTAAACGGCTATATACAGCGCAGAAAGCTATTAGTCTCGAAGAAAGTATGCCTTCTTTTACCATATATGTTTTACACAACTTTTTTCAATACAGACCTGAATGAAGCTCGGGATCCTGACACTATTTACAATACTATGCTATGTAAGAATTTGAACTATGGCGAAAACCCTTTGAACATTTTTCATTCTTCTGTGTATAAATATTCATTCGCATGATACTTCGAAAGGCGTAAAAATCAATTGATACAAATGGGCGTCACAACTGCAATTGGTTACGTTCGTTGCGAATTTGCGATCCTCTTTGCTGTGGCTTTGAACTCTCCGCTGTAAACTTCTTAGGGGGAAATATTGTGAGGTAGACGAGCCGATCTTGCGCTCAAGTTGCTCTCAAAGGCTTCGTCTGATTGTGGTCTCTGGTACCTTGGGGCGAGATTCTCGGCTGAGGATTCTTCGATGGGTTTAGTTGTGTTTTTGGTCTTTTGAATTCCTTCAATGATTTATTTTACGCTAGGAATGGTTTTGCTGTAAGGCAGCATGCTTACATGGGGCCGTACATTAAAAACTGGCTTTATAGTACACGTAGCTGCTAATTTCTTGTCTGTGATTGGTGGTGTAGCTTGAAAAGCCGTCACTGATTGGCTGACGGAGTTATAAAATCGTAACTTTTTTGAGCTGATTACCTATTCTAAGCGAGAAATTAAGAGCGCCTATATTATATGACATTCCTTCTCATGTTTAATTTTACGTAGTTAAGTGCCGATGTGATGCGATATGCTCTTCCATTACTAATTTCACGCGAGGGAGAGTGTCGATGTGATGCGACATGCTTCTCGTATTGATTTTTCGATTGAAAGAGATAAATTTTGGTGTCTCGTGCTGCTGCCATCATCTTGCGTCTCAATTGATCAGA